GGTAGCAATGATAATATGTCATAATAAGTTTCTTACATTCTCAAGGAATCAACAACTCTTAACCGAAAATAGTAACTACCTGAGCAATCCATTCCCTCGACAATACTACATTGACAAACCCAGGTCCAGCAATACTACATTTTTCTATTATGTCTGATTGAGGAAGATTGTTCATAATAGCCTGCAAATGAGAAACCATTTGATTGTCAAAGGATATTGATGTCCACTGTGTTGGTTGAAACAAAATTGTGATGTACCAAGCACAGCAAAAATCAATGTCATTACCTGTCCAACAGGTTGAGGACCCTTGAACTGAGTACCCTTCACTTTAATTTTAGCCCATAAGCTCATGGCATTGTTACTACCAAAAATAAGACTTGCTTAATCAGAAATTGTAGAATATAAATAGCATAAAACACCCCAAGCACTAAGAGAGAGAACATAGTTCAACTCTCAACTGGCACTGAAACTTCAAATGCTTTTCAATAGAAAAGATAGAAGACAAGAAACCTAGAATGAAATAAGAATGTAAACCATACCATTGATAGTCTCCAAATTTGGGATTGTTGCAAATAGCCATCATTGGTTGTACATCCGATTCATCAGGAAACGTTGCTCTAAGAGATTCTTCAAATAATTTTGCTAATTGCTCTTTAACACTCCCCACCTTATTCCGTTTAGAAAAGAGAAAAATTAAAAGCCAACTGTCTAATTTGTACATGTGTGACAGAACAAAACAAAGCATATATGACTTACAGCTGTCATGGTTGAAATCGGTGTTGCTGTTACTTTCCCCACACTACGAAATCTACTAGATGTAGATCTGAGTGTACCTGTCTAGTTTTCCAGAAACCACACCAAATGATTAACAAATCAGCAATCCAACAATTATTAACAACTTACATATATATGCCTATATATATATGGTTGCTACAACTTCCTAGAGTAGAATAAATATGGTTGCTACAACTTCCTAAAGTAGAGTAAATATGGCTGCCTATTTCCAACATTTCCAACACACATCATGCCTATTCACATGCCTATTTCCAATATAGATATTACTCATCGGCTAGGCGGTCGATGACATCTCGCCTAGAAAGTCCGCCTTGATAACTATGGTCAAATCTCCATAAACTAGTTTTTAATATACATCCATAGTATAAAAGTCTAATATTCTTTACAAATCTAAAAATTGTTTATTCAATTAAACTTACAGAACTTGAAGAAATAAACACCAATATTTGGTGAACTCACTAAATTTTACCAACTAATTTAAACTGAATTTTACCAAGAAATAAACACTAGAATTACAATAAGAACTCAGGAAGCATTTTACATGCATCCATATAGAATTCAGAGTTAACATAATTTCAAAATCACACGCACACATACAAATATAATACAAATAACTTCATAACAAATTCCTTTTATTTCAAAAAAAAAAAAAACTTCATAACAAATTAAACTTCAATATTTATACTTGCCTTATCTCCTGTTAGAACATATTAAAAAAATAAAAAATAAAAAATAAAAAACACAAACTGTATTCTTTATATGATTATTTAAAAAAAAAACTAAAAACTAAAGGGGCTAAACTACTAAATTAAATATTCTGGAAAAAAAATATAACAAAATTTTTATAACTTTCTCAAATTTTTTATAATAAATATATAACTAACAAGTCACAAATTTCCAGAAAAAATGTTAAAATTAGCTTTCTGGAAATAAAATAAAATAAACTCTTCAATATATGAAGATCTAATTTCTAATTTCTAAATACAGAAAAAAAAAAAAAAAAAACAAAACAAAAACAAAAAAACAAATTATGCAATTATTCAGCAACAAATCCAACCATACCAAAAAAACTGTTCACATTTAATTTTATGGGAAAAAAGAAGTAATGAAATCATATGTTACCGTTGTTACTCATTAGATTTTCTAGGCTGGAGGCTTTGACGATTTGATGGTGGCCATTGAGTAGCATACCGGCGGAGCGCTCACATGTGGAAGAAATATAGGGTTTCCTGAGTAAAGAATTGAGAGAATGAGTGGAAGTGATAGGCGACTCAAAGCTCAAGCGAGAGAGTTTGAGACTATGAGTCTCTGAAACTCTAAAAGTGAAAGTGAGAGGTTAGAGGGGACTCACCGGGAGCGATTGAGCGACGATAGGACGAAGGTGCAGACGACACTCGAGATGACAGAGAGCCGGAGATGGAGTCAGAGGAGTGAGAGGCGGAGAGCCGGAACAGGGATGGGTTTAGGGTTTAGGCGAAGCTCCCTCTCCGATTCTTTTGGCTCCAAATTCAGAATGTAATACTACTTCCCAGTTCCCATTTCGGAGAAGAGAGTTTAATTGTTTTTGTTATGACATAATTTAGGCTTTAGAAATTTTAGAGATTAAGTTAACATGACCCAATAAAAATAAAATAAAATATACCATTATAAAAATAATTAAGTAGGATACCTATAATAAGTTAATATAAAATATATTTTTTAATAATTTGAATTTTAAAAAAATAGTAAATATGCATGGAAATTTTAGATAACCTAAATATTTGTGAATGAATCACATTTACTTCAAAATTCAATGTAAATGATATGCTGCATTTCTTGGTGAATGTTGTATTCTCTTAGGAAACTAAGATAACATGAGACAAACATATGAATGTTATATTTGAAATGCTACATTACTTGAACCAAACACGTTAAAAGTGATGACAAAAAATACGGAATAATAAAATCAAAATAAGCTTGTTGACGAGCTAGCCTGCAGCCCGCTGAGCCTTCCAACGGGCTTTGCAAATCAGAGCTCGTCCCGTTTTTTTTTTTTTTTGCACAGCAAGATGTGATATCCCGACGAGCTAAGCCTGTTTTGACGACTATAAATAAAAATGGGATAAAGTACAAATAAGGCACTAAACTATTTAGGAAACATCAATTAAGCCATTAAACTCAAATAAGCCACTGGACTCGGGAAAAAAAAAAAATACAAACAATTGACATTTTAAGAGGTTACCACCTATTTATTTTTGCTGACTGGGTTGCCACCTATTTATTTTATTTTATTTTCCATTATTATTATAATCTACATGAATTTTTTTTAAAACAAAATTTTAAATTAAACATTCAACCATAAATTCTCTCCTCTTTAATCGCGACTTCTTCCTCTCCTCTCTTAATTAAAGGTGCGCATAATCATCTTAACTTTAATGGATGAAAATCTTTCCTTTGTGACTTATATTGAAACAGTACGTAAACACTTAAAATGAAATTCACATTAAATTTCATACGCAAAATGTACAAAAGAACTAATACATTAACAAGTACTAGTTAATTGCACAAAGAACAAATACATCGATATGTATTGTTAATTGCACAAATGCACAAAAATAAATGAATAAAAATAAAAATAAAAAACTTTTACATTAATATTAATTGTATTGCATTGATTGTGTTTCCAAAAGAAAGTATTGCCATAACAGCCCAAGTTGTCAATCTTCAATCATTATTTGGTCCACACAATCTGTGTGAACCATATTGTGTATACTGTAAAATAATATACATTCACTACAAAAATAATGTACTTTTAGTATATTAAAAATGCACATTGTATTTAGGAGATGTACATTATTTGTGCACTTAATGTATATTATATTGTATAATGTACATTCAGTACAAAAATAATATACATTATATTATATAATGTACATTCAGTACAAAAATAATGTATATTTAGTATATTAAAAGTATACTTTTTGTTATGGTTCATATAACACTATGTGGACCATGATCCACATAATAATTTGCTGTCAATCTTCAATGTGCTTTCAAAAGAAAGTCTTGTCATAGCAAACTATGTTGTTAATCTTCAACGTTCTTCTACACGTGGTGTTTGTGGTTTGATGGAATGTTACCATGCTAAAAAAAAAAAAAAAAAAAAAAAAAAAAAACATGTGTTATGACTCTGGAATTGACAAAGCTAAGGAATGAAACAAGAGAACTAACTTTTCTTTTGAGCTGAAAATTAGATATGTTATGTAGTTACAAGAAAGCAATTGTAGCAATAAACTTGTCGTATTTAAAAGTGAGAATACATGTAATATTACTCTTTAATAAAATTAAATTTACTAGTTATTAACCTATTTATATTTATATATATAAACTTCAATATTTGTATACATAAAGTTTAAGAAAAAGGGACAAATAGACCCTTGAATTATAGGTAAAAGAGTAATTAGGTCCTTCAACTTTAAAAATGTGTAATTAGACCTTTCAACTTATTATTTTAAGTCAAATAAGCCCAATAACAGGTTTTTCATCTGGAATAACCGGCCAAAAAATTTCGGCGATATTTTCGGCGCTAACAAAATTAAAAAAAAAAAAAAACTAACGAAGACAACTGTTCGGTCATCTTCTCCACTGGAGAATGCTGACGGTTGTCTTCTCCGATAATTTTTTTTTTGTCGCCGAATTTTTTGACCGGTTATTCTAGGTGAAAGATATGTTTTTTGAACTTATTTGACTCAAAATAACAAATTGAAGGGCCTAATTGTACCTTTTTAAAGTTGAAGGGCTTAATTACTCTTTTGCCTATAGTTCTAGAGTCTATTTTTGACCATTTTCTCTAAAGTTTATTAATTAATTATTTGTATCAGTGTATTTTGATGCATGGTCATTAGTCGATAGTAAAATTGGGCATGGCAAGTTAATTGCCATGCCTTTGGCAAGGTAGACCGGCCGGTCTGGCAGATATAATCGATCTGTTATGATAGCTGGATCTACCGTGAAGGTGTGAATGGACGAAAATTAAATAAACTCAATAATTAGGGCATAAATTTTGCATGTAGTCCAAGTGTCAAACATTCAAACGGTCCATGCATCCTCTCTGCACAAGTGTCGTCTAATCTTTGAAACTCTCATGCACCATACATTATCATATATTATATACTACTCAAAAACTTCTTTCCTCATCTGATCTTCACATCCTCGATCTTGCAGAAATGTCTGTTATTTCTTCTTCTCTTTCAATTCCCTTCTTAATCAGAAAATCTTTGCCGCTTTATACTCCACCTTCCATCGCTGTTTCCCTGAGAAAAGTTAATGGCAATAAGAGCCCAAAATTTGTTTCGCTTTCAATGATGGGCAATGTCGACCCGTACGCCAAGCCCGGGAAAACCCCGCCGGAGTTCCCGTCCGCTCCGCCACGGGCTCCGGACGTTCCGGACTTCGATCCAATTCCTCCTGAAAACCCCGGTGATCCGCCGCCGGATTTTCCAGGGCCATCACCGCCGGGGGATGATCCGCCAGGCCCAGACGTGCCTGGGCTGCCGACGCCAGGAGAACCGGAAATTATCCCACCGCATGAACCGGATGTTATACCGCCGGAGCTGCCGGAGCTGCCGGAACCACCAAAACCGTTGCAGCCGGACATCCCTTCTCCAATTATGTTCGGAACTATGGTCGTAAATTATTAGAGAAACATATATTTTGTAGTGAATACATATTTTCTTGGTGTTTTATTTAAATTACTCCGTATTATATTCACCCTATTCAATAGCGAAAATTAAGAATTATTAGTAAAGTAGTAGTATTTTTTTTATGCCACATGCATAAAAAAACAACTCAATAGTACTTTATATTAAAATTTTAAATTTATTTAGATTTTAAATATTTAAATTATTGTAAGTCGTAATAATAATAATAATGTAAAATATTTTTATAAATGTGATATTTATATGTTATGAAATAATTAACATATAATTTTAATATATAAATGTGCATATATTATTTTTCTTGAAGAGGACAAAAATATATATAGTGAATGCATGTCCATAATTACAATAGTGGAAGAAAATAACAAAAGTTATAACGGTAGATATGTTTGTCTAAATATTGTATGGTATAACTTTTATAACATAATACTAGTTTTTTACACGCATTGCGCGATTGGGATAATGCCCAATGTTTTTTTTTTTTTAAAAAATAAGTACTTTAAAGTATATTAAGGCAAGATTATATTGAAATTGTTCATGCATAGATAATTGAAGGTTGAATTTGCCTATTTAAATAGGTAATTCTTCTCCCAAAGGTTGAGTCTCCCTACCCCAAGGGCCCCCCACATTCTGACCCGACAGAGCATTGTAGGAAGTTGTAAATCACGGTGACTCAATGGTTCAATGGTTCAGCAGACAGGACCAAATGCCGGTGCGAACAAGGAATCTGCCCACTTTGGACATAATTCCCGCACTGTCGCCGTCGAGGTTCAAACCTTGGTCTCTTCTCCCAAATACTGCCCACTAAATAGGTAATTCTAAGTTTACAAATGCAAGATAATATAGTCAAGATTGATTATAATTGTCAATAAAATAATTGTATAGGTATGGTTGAAACCAAATACGGGACATAAGGGAGAACAAATAAAAATTACGGCATAAAATATTAAATATATACTAATATTGTTTGAGGAGATTTCGACATTAGGATTTGTGGTTAAGTTCTATTAAGACTTTAATATTAGAATTAGATTAATGGTGTAATTATAATGTAATTATAATTCTATATTAGACGTTAATATTATAATTAGACTAACGGTGAATTAACAGTATTTAACGAAAAAGTTAATGGATAATCATATAATTAAGGATAAATTAGAAAAAAATTTAAAAAAAATTAAAACCTGAACAATTTGAACCATTCATTTGATTTAATAATTTGGCGGTCATTTTTTCTACCCAATGTTAATAATTAAATAAATTTGTTGGTCAAATTCGCTAATATAATCCGCGCGCTAACTGCTGATTGTCAAACAAGGACATTGCAAGGTAGTTCTTACTTCAATTTGTTGTGTGATTTGAATACTCTCTTTGTCACAAAATCTCTCAAGTAGTTAATATGGTTGGCTTTATTAATTATATATTTTTTAAATTTTTTTATGGTATTAATAAAATACTTGGTAAATAAATATATAGCATTATTTTGTATTATAACTTTGATATTTAATTAGAAAAATAGTGCACAAAAAAGATAATAGACAATGTAGTGAATATAATCAATTGATGAATTTGAATGTAAAAATTTTTACATTTGAGAAAAATAAAGACAATATAACTAATGAAAATATTTCTCTTAATTAATTTATTGATAATGAATAATTTTTTTCACTGAATTAAGACATTGTAAGGACAATGTAGCGAATATAATCAATTAATAAATTTGAATATAAAGAATTTTTATATTGTAAAAAAATAAAGACAATATAACTAATACAATTATTTCTCTTATTTAATTTATTGATAATGAATAATTTTTTTTTGAATAAAGGCATTGTGGACACATAATTCTAAATTAAATAAATGCATATCTATAATTTTTTGTTGTAGCTACTAAATTATTATTTATATAATTTAATAAGAGTAAAATAGAGTACTAATTATGCCAACTTTGATTGGGATGAGATTCGAATCTAAGACCTTTTTTTTTTATTGAAATCGGTGAGTAAGTTAACGGTGAACTAACGGCAATTCTTAAAATTTTAACGGAATTAGTAACGGTGTGTGGGTATTTAAGAAAATTTTAGTGTAAAATTTAAATCTTATCAATCTTTTAATCAATATGAGCCATTCATTCGATTAAAATCTGTGACCGCTATTTTTCTACCCATTATAGGCCTAACTCTCTTGGGCTCTTATTAGTATAGTAGATATTAAAAATGTTAACACAAAAACAAACATAAATGAAGGATATAATTTTAAGAAAAAAGTGTCAAATTGGCCCCCTAAGTCGACCGGATAGTGCAATTGGATCCCCTAACTAAAAAAAACTCCATTTAGATCCCCTAAACCTGTAAAATTGTTCAATTAAGTCAAAAGTGACTTGTTTAACAGGTTAAGTCTTCACATTGTTGACACATGTCATTTTAAAATATTTGTTTTGTTTTTTTTTTTTATAAATTTTATTTATATATGTATTAAAATACATATTATATATATATAAAAAATAATAATAAAAAAAAAAAAAAAAAAAAAAAACTCAGCCACCGGTGGCTGACTATCTAAAATTAGCTGTATTTATTAAAATACATATTTGCTAAAAAGCATTTGGGAAGGTTAATATTTTTTTTTAATATAGTATGTATTTTAATAAATATATAAATAAAATTTATAAAAAAAAAAACTGAAAAAAATATTTTAAAATGACATGTGTCAACAATGTGAAGACTTAACCTGTTAAACAAGTCACTTTGGACTTAATTGAACAATTTTACAGGTTTAGGGGATCTAAATGGAGCTTTTTTTAGTTAGGGGATCCAATTGCACTATCCGGTCGACTTAGGGGGCCAATTTGACACTTTTCCCTAATTTTAATTCAAACTTATTATGTTTTTAGATTAGCTTTTCACCCGTGAGACACGAATAATAACATATATTAAATACTTATATAAAATTTATATAGTATAAAATAATAAATAAATTATCAAAATATTATATGATATTTTAACAATTTCTTATTATAATAAGGGGAAATTGCATCTTTGGTCCCTGAGTTATACCCAAGTTCCGATTCAGTCCCTGAGTTATGACTGTATGCATATTTAGTCCCTCAGTTATGAACAAAGTGGCGTATTTGGTCCTCGGCCGTTAAAAGTGACGGAAAATTTTAAAAAATTTTAAAATTTGACGGGTAAAGTAGGAAATTCACATTTTATTCTCCTTCTTATATCAAAACCACTTTCACAACATTATTTTTCACTTCTTAGCCTCTTATTTCATGATTGTTCAATTTTAAAAGCATTTCAATAACTTTAGTATGACTTGTTAGGAACCTAGCTCTCGTATAACAAACTTAAGACTTAGCACAAAAATAAAGAAACATTTGATCATTGTCTTCAGACGTGTGAAACACACTATCCTATCAATTTTCAATTTTCCTTACTAAGAAACAAATGTAATCAAATCAGAACTTTTGAGATACAAAATGATGTCAAATTTCTCAGGTTGCTTTTATGAGAAATTCACCAACTGAATAACTTGAGATTTTTAGTATGTAACATTTTTTCGTATAGTGTGTTTCTTTATTTGTGCTAAGTCTTAAGTTTGTTATACGAGAGCTAGGTTCCTAACAAGTCATACTAAAGTTATTGAAATGCTTTTAAAATTGAACAATCATGAAATAAGAGGCTAAGAAGTGAAAAATAATGTTGTGAAAGTGGTTTTGATATAAGAAGGAGAATAAAATGTGAATTTCCTACTTTACCCGTCAAATTTTAAAATTTTTAAAATTTTTCCGTCACTTTTAACGGCCGAGGACCAAATACGCCACTTTGTTCATAACTGAGGGACTAAATATGAATACAGTCATAACTCAGGGACTGAATCGGAACTTGGGTATAACTCAGGGACCAAAAATGCAATTTTCCCTTATAATAAAGTATTTATAGTACTTTATATCTAATTATTTTATAATAAATGAGTATTGGGACTAAATAAAAAACATCACAGACTTATCATTTGTTAAACTTGAAAAATACTTTAGTGGTACAAAGAGAGTTACACTAAAAAAAAAATCGCAGGTCAAATGTGAGAGAGTTAGAGACTTAGAGCTATATATAATGATAAATTCATAATAAAAGTATGTGCTAGCTGTTTAACGTGATGATCAAGTTCAACATCAACAATCAAGTCAAAGAATTTTTTCGTTGAAAATCAATATTATATTTTTATCGAGAAAATGGTCAAATACACCCTTAAACATTTCGCTAAAGGTCAATTAACCCCACAAACTTTCGAAAAGGTCAATTGAACACATGAACATACAATTTTGAGTCACTTGACCCCATTAACCGGTAACTTTTACCTGATGAACCGGTAATTGACACCGTGGCGTGACACATAAGCGTTGGAGTGGGTACTTGGCTGCCACATAAGCATAAAAAAGAATTAAATTAATAAAAACATTTTAAAATCAGCCATAAAGAATTTAACAGATTATATTGTACAGGGCTGATTTTAAATTCTTTTTTTTTTTAATTTAATTCTTTTTTTATGCTTATGTGGCAGCTAAGTACCCACTTCAACGCTTATGTGTCACGCCACGGTGTCAATTACCGGTTCATCAGGTAAAAGTTACCGGTTAATGGGGTCAAGTGACTCAAAATTGTGTGTTCATGTGTTCAATTGACCTTTTCAAAAGTTTGTGGGGTTAATTGACCTTTAGCAAAATGTTTAGGGGCCTATTTGACCCTTTTCTCTATTTTTATCTGATAGAAGTAAAAAGAGGCGGAATAAATTTAATTGTATGGAGTTTAAAATTTTGATGAATTCAAGGCCTGATGTTGAAGGTTTGAGTGTTCTATTAGTACTAAAAAGATTAGTGTCAACCTCATTAAGAGTTCAAAGAAAAGAATGGAATAGATTAGTTGAGTTGACCGAACCATTATAAAAACGTAGTCTTTATTATTTTACATATTGTATTCATATTATCTCATAAACCACTAACTTTTGACAAGATCACAAATTATGTGCAAATATTAACAAGGGGTTAAAATTGTATTATTCTATTGTGTAAATTCAAAATTCAATGTTTCGATAGCGTGAACCAGTCGATCACTTGTTCAAATAATTAAACTTTAAAAAATTGTAAAAGTATATTCAATTTACCCCCTCTAAACTTGTAACCCCTCACACTAAGACCAACATATTGTTTTAAAAAATAAATAAACAAAGACTGTACGGATTAATCTTGTTTAATATCTTAAATTAATTTTTTTTGAGTACTATTAACCTTATTACATATAGTATCTGTTCATATATATTTAAATTAAACTTAATAACAATAGGCTTAAAAATATTTTTATTAAACTTAAAAATAAAAATTATATTTATTTCATTTAAACTAAACAAATCTAAAAATATTAAATTTGTATTAATTTTATACCGTTAATAAAAAAATACATTTAAAAAATATTAATAAATAAATTTTCTAATAAAAAAACAAAGGATAAAAATTGAAAAATTAAAAAATAAAGAACAAAGAACAGTCTCTATTAACCAACAAGCCTTTTATATTTTCTCAATGAAACCCATTTTTCTCCTAAAAACTCATCTCTCAACAATACTTCTTTTTCTTCTCTCTCCTATTTCTTTCATTTCCACCTCACTCAAAAATTTACAAAATACTCCGTATCTCATAAAAATCTTTATTAGGCTTACTCTAAAATATTATAAGCAAATTTTTATAGAATTAATACTATTAGCGTTAATGTCTTAACATCATAATTAAATATTAAATATATAATTAAATATATTATGCATGATTGGTTCGGTCTGGTGTCAGCATTATAGAAAAATAAAATATAATATACTATATCTAGAACATCAATTTCTTAATTACGTGCCGGACAGTGAACATATTAACTATGTTAAAATACTTTTTCTTGTTATATCTTGTGGAAACTTCACCATCAATCACTATATAAAAAGGAAAAAGGAATACTGTTATTATTTTTTGACAATTCTTGTATCCTTTTAACGTGTTTGACTTGTATCATTTAACGTGTTTTGTGATATGCGATTTATTATATTACACTTGTATTAAACTCTATTCATCACAATTTAGTTTTTTTTTTTTATTATTTATTTTTTTTTTATTTTAGAGAAACACTCGTAATAATGACTTTTGAATAAATTTTGTTTTTATGTAATAAAAACTCGCAAATGACACATGAGAGATAGTAGTTTTGGATAATAAAACAATCAATATTAATCCTTTAACTATTTCATTTTTCCGTACTTTTGGTTCTCTATCATATATATATTTTTTAAACTTTATTAGGAGCAATGACAAACTAGTAATTTCTCCTAACTCTAATTTATGCATTTTATAGTTGCATAAAATAAAATAAACACTAATTTATTTTCACCTTAGAAATTTGGAGTGATGAAGATCGAAGATGAGGCCCTTCTCGATGAATAATGTTTAAATAAAAAATGTTCTTTATAGAATACCAAAATATTTATCTTTTTATATAGTTAGTCAGGAATTAAAAATATTAAGGCCAAAGGATAAACAGTTAGACCCGTGACATCTTAACTTTTTTTTTTTTTGAAACTTACAGTTAAAAATCCGTATCACTTAATCACAAGATCTTAGGACCATGTTTATATTTAGTTTTTTTTTTTTTTTAATGAAATTGAATATGTCAACCCTATCAATTAGTAACAGATCAAATTTGTTCCATATACTTTTTTATTATTATATAAATTAAAGTATCTAATTAGCAAATCCAATAGTGTACACATAATCAATTTAACTACCATTTTAAACAAATCAAGTGGTGCAAGTAGTATTATATGCATACATGTATTTATATATTTGATTTTTAATGACGTGTTATCGTTGAATAAAAAATCAAGTGAATAGAAAATTTCAACCCTATCAATTAGTAACAGATTAAATTTGATCCTTAATATACATAAAGTATCTGATCAGATAGATATCAATACTTTGATGCAATTGTAAAACATTTGTTGATCTGACAACTAAAACATTTTACTAATTAAATAAATAATAATAAGATTTTTTTGAAGATCAGACTAAATAATACGGAGTAATAAGATTAAACCTATATATAAAACATACAAGTATCGGTGATCGAGTGAAATAAATCAGATAATATAATTTACATCTAGTAATAATTAAAATTACAATAAATAAATAAATAATCTAGTACTCTACAAGCACCTATAAATCTATAATAATGTTATAATGGAGGATACACAGTTTGTATAGATTTAACTTAGTGGTTTAAATTATTACTAGGTAGTATTTTGGAAGAAGAATAACGAATGACAATGTGATTTTAAATAGTGTTTATGTTTGTATAACTAACAAAACAACAATAGGGAATTAATTAAAGTAACTAACTTGGGGCAACACTAACTACGTTGGTGACTATTGACTTAATGATCTTACAAGTTCTACACTTCTACTGCCCGCGAGAACAGGTTTTTGACCTTCTTGATTTGTTTTTTGAACAAATTAATTATAAATAATTTAAATTAATTTACCTTTTTATGATTTGTGACCAACTGAGATCAAAATGCAAGATTTATCTGTGTAACACACCCTTAGATAGTAGTTATAAACGCAAAAGTAGTTAACTCTGTGAGCAGTACTTGTAACCAGTGAGGCTGCGAACGCAATAACAACCGCCGCCTCCTCCGCAATCGCTGTTTACTTTGCACGCGCCGCTGCAGCCGTCCAGCGACGGTTCCCCGGAGGCAGTCGCGACGGCACATTCCATGCCTTTAACTGCAGAAATATGTATGGATATATATTTCGTCAGTTAATATATATGCATACATATAGTATTATAGAGAGAGAAAGAGAGAGACTAACAAGATTTATATATAGCAAGAAAGAAGATGGCAAAGAAAGCCAGTTTAAATGAAGAACGCTCCATGTTCATAAGTTGAATGATGTAATGTGTTTGCTTAATTGTCTGTTTAAACAATATTTATAAACAATAATCCTACCTAAATAAATAAATAAATAACCCTTCCATTATTTCCATTTAATTTAATTTAAAGGTATTGTATTACACTTGTGAAAGTCAACCAGCCAGCATTTTTTTAAAATAATTTTTGATATAATATTTATCAGCCACCAATTCTGATTAATTGCTTCAAAAAATTAACCTTATTATTTTTAGTACAAGTCCCTTTCTTGATGTTATGTTTGGGTTTGGATTTCATTTCTTACTCTTCTTCTCTCAAATAAAAACAACTTTTTTATTTCCATTAGATGCACTCAAAAACCAAATATTCATTACGTACAAACTTTTAAAGATTCAAAAATAAATAACAATAAGGAAAAATAAAGAAAGAAAAATTCATAAATATTATGAACTTTTAAAGTTCGTAATATTTATGAAATTAATATCACATTTTTTAATTAATATCACATTTTTGTCTAGACATTGATCATTCTTAATGAATATATCAGATAAGTTTTCACTTCTCAAATCTAGTTCTCATTTGATATATATATATATATATGTGTGTGTGTGTGTGTGTATGTGTGTGTGTGTGAGAAATTTAATTAATGATATTCTTCTAAACATATATTTCCTCTTAAGTAAGAAAACAAAGGTAAAACTAAATTACATTGTGGACCCCAGGTTCATCTTTGTCCAAAAAATGAACATGTCCCAAGTCCATATTTGTCCAAAAAATGAACATGCAGTATATATATATATACATTACTCCGTAAAATGAATTTATATCAGAATATAATAAACATGCATGCACCTATACAAATTGTTAAATGAACTTATGATGTACGAAAAATAAACTTGTAGTGTACAGTGTACTAAAAAAGAGCCTGGATCAAAGTTTAGGATATAATGATTGGAAAACAAAAATAATGAAAACAATGTATATTTTATTACAAAGTAATATATATATATATATATATATATATATATATATATATATTTATTTATTTATTTAAAAAATTATGTGTTTAACTCAATAATTTGTGACAATTGGTAAGCGAGCAATTATATTATAAAGTCAAATAATAAACTCGATCTAATTTTGTCCATTTATTTTTAAATAAGTTTGATCACTGTTACAACTTCTGCTATCTATCTTACAACAATATTTGAATTATGAAATATTAATATTATATGGGATTCTGTTGTAATTAATGAAGATTTTAAGGTAATGCAAAATCAAACACACTCTCTCTCTCTCTTAAGGTAATAATTCTGATGATAGTTACAAGATTTGATCCCGGCCCTATCATAAAAAACAGGAAGGAAACAATGGATGAGTACTATATTGAAAAACAATTATTTTACCTCTTAGCTATTTTATGATAGTTAAATCAGTCCCTCAAATGTAGGGAGGTAAATAAATGTAAGATATACTGATGGTTTTTCATTTTTATAGGAATCAGTCATTTATTCTTGAATTGAATGGTTTAGCTACTAACGTTTGCACTTGAAATTTTACTTTTTGTGATTTGAATAAACTAGTATTTGCGCCCGTGCGTTGCACGGAATGAATTTGTTATAATATTTTATAAATATTTAGATCGATATACAATTGTATAAATTATAACATCGAATATTATATAATATAATTGAAGAATTGAGTTGCACCGATTATGTTTTCTGATGTTATCAATGCTTGAATTTGAGTAAATAATTGCCCAATTAATAGCTAACGTGTAGATATACGCATTCGGTGCTGCAACTTTAGAGATTTTATATATCAGTGTTTAGAATTTGTATTAATTGGGCTAATTAGCTCGTTGTCTAGCAATTCAGTTATAGAAATTATTTATACAGAAGATATATTTTCTATGTAGATATATAGCAATTTTGGCATCTTTATATATAAAAAACCATAATATCAATGACTTGAATTATACATTATTGAAAATCTCTTTGTAGACAACATTGGTAGTAGTAACACAATTTTATCCATCCTCGTCTAGAGTTAAAATCACCAAACCATCAGGATGGGTGACTCGGGAAAAAGTCACATACAATTAACCGTGATTAAAGACTGATTTTTTCAGTAATAACTCAACGTGAGTTAGTGTTTGACCCTGACTTTTGTTGATAGTCGTGGCATATGCGAGCATCAACATGAGTTGTTTTCGTTAGAACTTGAAGGGCAATCTCGTATCAGAAGGGTGAAAGACATTTTAATTGAAGATTTTACTTTTATTAATAGTATAAATATAGATTGGTGTCAATAATAATTAATAAATTATTATTTCCTTATAAAATTACATAAAATTTCAAATGGATTTTCTCATTTATTACGCAGAATTTGTTTCTGTTATTCTTACAATTATAATGGTTTAATTATTCTCAAAATTTGATAAACATTTTTCTTTTTTAAGTTGACTTTAATTTGTGATAAAAATTCATTAGATATTGGTTAATTTTCATTTAAAATTTTGTTACCAATTAAGCTTTATTAATTTTTTTTATCAATTAATTAATATTCACATTAATGTGGGCGGAAATGTTGAAGATGTGAATTTTACTTTTATTAATAGTATAAAGTAAATAATAATTAATAAATTATTATTTCTTTATAAAATTACGCAAATTTCGAACGAATTTTCTCATTTGTTACGCAGAATTTGTATCCATTATTTTCACAATTATAATAATTTAATTATTCTCATAATTTGGTAACCATTTTCTATTTTTATGTACATATTGACTTTAATCTGTGGTAACAATTCATTAGATATTAGTTAATTTTTATATAAAATTTTGTTACCAATTAAGCTTTATTATTTTTTTACTAATTAATTAATATTCATGTTAATTTGGGCTGAAATGTTGTAAATGAGGATTTTACTTTTATTAAAGTCATTTCACTAAGAACCTGGAGCTTGTGGTTGAGTGGAAGGGACACATCCATCCTTATTAACCAAAGGTGAGCAACTTTAAATCTCCAGGCCAAAGCATAAGTGATATTGCAATAATTAATTTATTTATGATCATTAGTTCACATATTTGATTTATTTATTTTTTCTTTAATTATTCTCGTTGTAAACATAAATGATATTGCAATAATTAATTTATGATATTTAGCAAGTTGTATTTTTTTTTTAAAATATAAAATTTTCTCATGTTTAGGGATTAAAAAATATTTTAGAATTATTTTTATTAGTAAGTAATTTTATTTTTAAAATATTTTTCAGCAACCCAAACACTCCATTAGTCTATAATAAAAAAAATGAAAAATAAAATAAAGTTATTTCATTAAGAAAATTAAAACTAATTAAAGTAAATCTAATCATGCTATATTTATTTGTAACTGTATATTAATTTCATTTTGAAATCAGTGGTTAATATCTTTGAATTATTTTTTTTTTCAACTATTATAAACAAAAATTATGATACTTATCAAATTGTATTTAAAAAAAAAAACATTTACACATGTTATGAGGGATTAAAAAATATTTTAAATTATTTTTTATTAGTGTGCATTTTTATTTTAAAATATTTTCCAGCAATCCAAACACTCCCTTAGCGTCTCATCAAGAACGGATAAAGAAAAGTCATTTCATTAAGAAAATTAAAACTAATTAAAATAAATCTAATCATGCTACATTTATTTGTAACTCTATATTAAGTTTATTTTGAAATATTTGGTTCACATATTTGAATTATTTTTTTTCTTTAACTATTATAAACAAAAATTATGATATTTATCAAATTGTATTTTTTTAAAAAATATAACATTTACACATGTTATGAGGGGTTAAAAAATATTTTAAATTATTTTTATTAGTATGCATTTTATTTTAAAATATTTTGCACTAATCCAAACACTTCCTTAGCCTCCCATAAAAAATTAATAAAGAAAAGTCATTTCATTAAGAAAATTAAAACTAATTAAAGTAAATCTAATCATGCTATATTTATTTGTAACTGTATATTAATTTCATTTTGAAATCATTGGTTCACATATTTCAATATGTTTTTAATTATTATAATTTATAAACAGAAATAATATTGTACTAATTAATTTATGATATTTTATCAAATTGTATTTTTTAAAAAAATATAAGATTTACACATGTTATGAGGGATTAAAAAAATATTTTAAAATTATTTTTTATTAGTAAGTATTTAAAAAAAAATCACCAACTCAAACACTCCCTTAGTCTCCATAAAAAAACTGATAAAGAAAAGTCATATCATTAAGGTAATTAAAACTAATTAAAGTAATTGTAATCATGCTATATTTATTTGTAACTATATATTAATTTCATTTTCAAATCATTGGTTCCCATATTTGAATTATTTTTTTTCCTTAATTATTATAAACATAAATAATATTGTACTAATTAATTTATGATATTTATCAAATTGTATTTTGTAAAATATAGCGTTTTACCGGGAAAATTTTTTGTTGTTATGAATTTAAAATTAAAATAAAAAAAAATAAAAAGATATTAAAATGTACAATATAATAATATAGTTGGATTTTTATATATTTGGTCAAGTACCTATTTTCATAACATACAAAATTAAATTTTAAATATTGTATGGTTAATATAATCTCTAATCATGTACATATTTAGATAAATTTATAGAAAAAATTTATAAAATTAAATTGATTTATTCCAAATTGTATTTCATATATATTATAATTCTAAAAAATATGAATAATAATAATTAAGAGAATTGTACTTAAAAATCAATAAAAATGTAAATTCTAAATTTTGTATGAATAAATATAAACTCTAATCAGAGGTATATCATTATCTCTATATCTCTATCTCTATCTCTATATATATTAAAGCAAAATGGTTGACACAAATTTTTTCCCCAAAACGTAGGGACATTTTTGTAATATCATTTATTATTATTATTATTATTATTATTATTATTATTCATTACCCTATTGTGGTGGCTGGCAATCCAATTAATATGTCATTATTTACCTAT